TTGGGAAATATCCATTTGAGAGAAATTAGGCTGAATGTTTTAGCATATTTTTAGCCGCTAGCGTTGTTCACAACGGACGGATAGACAGACATTTTGCTGTCAATCGATTTTTCAATATCAAAGAACCACACAACATGGATTCTGGCTGCACCACGTGTAAGATAATTTTTTCTTAAATTTAGCAGCTGTACTCCTCCCCTATTTTGTTACCAAGGCCTTGTGATAAGATTATTTCTGCCAAATATTCCCCGTCAGTTCGCGTCGCATAACATAACTTTCTCTATTGCGTAAGCGGTAGCGAGAAAGTAAAACTACGATTTGAATTTGTTTCAAATATTTATTATTCTTGTCCAATGTAAATGTTTTCCATTGGTCAACCAATGGAAATGGTTTCCATTGGTTGTAATGGTTCAATAATATTTTGGGACCATTTCCGCTCTAAAGTTGAACTTCATTTGTACGCGATGTGTTAATATAATACTTCAATGAACATTGATTTTTTTATTTATTACATATTGAACTTGTATAACAGACTAGAGAAATATTATTTCTGTATTCATGTATGTGAAGAAAACATGGTTGGATTATTTTCTTTAGCCCACCAACTCAAAAAAAAATTCTTGACCTGTATTAACCTTACGAATGTTAATGACGGTCTGGTAACCGACAAGACCGACGTTTGTAAAATATTTTATTTTTATTTTGGAAGGGTCATACGATAATTTCCCTATGACGAGATAAAGCAAAGAGAGACAACCAATGCTGACAGATTTTAGTACAGGCATAGGCGTCGAATGAAGATATGTAACTGTCAGGAAACGAGTTGTAGCAAATGTAAAAATGACTTTCAAAACGTTAGAAGACAAACGAAATAACTGTGGTGACATGTTTCTTCGAAGCCGTAATTTTGGCAGAAGATACGTAGTCGCCGTTGCGAGGAGGTGGTAGTAATTGAAGCTGATTAGTTGTTTTTTGCCGTGATCTGAAGCTGTATCGAGTAGAGATGTCCATGAGAGGCATTTGAGAGTAATTTTTTATGTAAATGGTTCATATTATTGAACAGTACACTTGGGTACATTAACTTTGATAAAATGTCAACGTCAACAAAGAACACCAGAAGATTATTGGTGGTCGTCGAGATTCTCAGGGGGAAGATTCTTCACTTCGGCAACGTGGTCAACGAGCACATCATCTTCACAAACCGTAAACGCCACGGAAAACCTCGCGCAAGATTCAGTAAGCATTCTTTCCAAAGAAATTATTGGACAAATTTTAGAAAATAATAATAATAAATAATAAACATATTAAATTTGATGGCATGCCAATAGAACCTAGTTTATAATATAAAATTTTGTAAATATCATCACGAAGTAATGTTAACAAATGATGGAATTGAGTTATTGAAAAGGTAAAGCTCATTACTTTTTTTTTAAATAGATAGACTCCGCAGATCAACCATTTTGAGCTTCTTTTAACAGAATAAATTTTCAGTAATTGCCTAGTCCTTACTGGATGGGACGTCGGCTCACGTAAGTAATATTTAATTATACAAGGACGTGATAGTCAGGCATTAATAAATAGCCAAAGATCATCATTTTCAAGCATAATAATGATGATAATAATAACGATAATAATAATAATAATAATAATAATAATAATAATAATAATAATAATAATAATAATAATAATTTTTGTTTAAAAAACTTCACATCACTCAGCAACATTCTCGCATCAACCAACAACATTCCGTATTATAAATATTATCCAATAATGCGCAACAAATCACTAGGTTAATACAATTTTTTGCGTGTATTTTAATCATACATCACATTCTTATACGGTTTTTTAGTTTATTTTTGAAAAATTTAATATCAATTTTTTTAAGAACTCTCGAGGCCATTGGTGAGTTTGGGCTCAGGCCCTTCGGGCTCGTGCGTTAACACGGCCAGGGTCTCGGGATCGAATCCGCGGAGGTGGCAACGCTGCCGTCCGTTTGATTTTGACGCGCACCGCCACCGACGGCAATACACCGAGAGGCGGCGGTGGGAGGCCCCTCCTCCGTGGAAAGGCCGAACTCGTTCGGCGACCTTGGCCACAGCCTCGCGCCGCAGCATTGAGGATTCCCCGCGCAGGAGGAAGAGCGGGCGAGCGGGCGCCTGCGGGCACGCGCGGTGGGGGTGACGACGCAATCGGAGGACAAAATTAAACTGGGAACCCGGAAACAAACAAAGGATACGCGGAGACCTCTTGTGTATACTGGAGACAACACTCCGTGGTCAGGAATCGTGACGGTCCGCCATTATGGTGAATGTCTGTTCTGTTTCTAGTAAAGTCAGAACCAAATAGAAGAGATTAGCGTCTTATTCCAATTTTAAACATTTATTCCCTTTTATGTTAACTAAAATTTTAAGAAAAGTGCATCCAGCTATAATGGTAAGATCACTGTGATACGTATTAAATTTCGAAAACGGAATGTAGTCACTGAAAGTTACTGTTGTAATGAATATTCGATTATTAAGTAACTGCACACTATATTAAAGGTTAAGTAACCCACCCGATTATTTAGTAACCCAGCACATCATGTATTTATCTACCCAATTGTACTCCAACCTAATGCAGGCTAAATTTAATCGGATTCAACCTGGCCAGGAACTCAATCTATCCCACAAGAAAAAATACACAAGTATCCTATCTACACGATCCTAAAGAAATTTTACGAAATGGTCTCTAATTAGAGGTTGTTTGGTTTCCTCAATCGACAGGATTGTTATAAGTTTAATTTTTTTAGGAATTAAGCCTACACAAACATGTAGATATGGAATGTATAATTAATTTTTTTAGTATAAACTTTTGTTGTACACGAGGTTAATGTTGGTGATTTGAGTATGGTTCTAGCTCCATTTTATCTTTTTGATATTTTTCATATTTATGGCCTCTTTCTGGCAATTTTTGGCTAAAGAGTGGAAAAAGAATTTTGCTTGTCATTGTAACAAAAGTTATGTACAATGAGCGTGACCATGCTTTTGGCTTTATTATACATCCAAGCAAAAGAATAACACCGGTTAGGTCTCAAGGGTAGATAAAATGTGAATCTTTGATCTGTGTAATGCATTGGTAGCCAGTAAAAGTACCATTTTCCACACATGTGGTAGGAAATGTCGTCTAACGAAATTAGACACTGACCAGGTACACTGTACGATACTATCCCTTGGTAAAAGTACTAACCCTCCGAGGACAAACTTTCCTCTGGCACTGACGTTATCATTGTTAAGAAGAAATATGTATTTCTGTACCCCAAGAGTTGTACACATGTATTGACTCATTCTGTACATTATGAACGTACATTTTTATATTTTATATTTTTCCTCTAACTCTGTGATCGTGGAAAACAAATACTTTCCATCAGGATGTACAGAAAAAATTTAAATCGGTAGAGTGTAGCGACGAAGTCAGGAATTTTTCGAAGGGGTGATCCTCTACAGTGTTTCGTACTAATCCCATAATAATTCCTTGTTGTGTTAATAGTCTTATAGTAATCCCTTGTAGTATTAATTATAGTACGTAGTATTTCGTAGTTATTACTTGAGCACCATATAAACAAGTGATGGAGTGATGTTGTCCCCAGTGAAAGCCGGTGGCATGGGTTGCACAATGGAATCTTCTCACTTGTTTGCCAGCTCGCCACCAGATAGCGATAATGCATGCAAATTATACTTTAGATATGTTTAGTCGCGGTTAGTTAAGAAAGCACGTCTGTGGTTATTACGTTTTTTATTTTATTTTTCTGTGCACAATCTATTTGTAGGTACGTTTCCACCCAGTTAATAAAATAAATGCAGTAGCAGATTCGAGCTTTAGAATTTTACTTCTGTGCTTCGATCTTTAGAATATTTTTATATTACTCCTGTGCTTAGAAATAGTAGAATTATAATATAATTAATTTTTAATAAACATTTCACACGAGTACGAATGTTTTGAAAAGGAAGCACTTGGAAACAAAATCAAAATATTCCGAATCCTCTAGTGAACACGCTGTTGAATGTTTCGATGGAACCATCGCTAAACAAAATCGAATGCTTGTACTAATTTTGGTTTTACAATACTACCTGCGCTAATGAGCTAATGGCATGCCATGACCAAACGATAAATTCTAGTACCACGATTAGAATGTGCATTATTAAAAAAGTTAAAGTAAAGTGCAAGTACACTCAAGCGCAGAGACCAATCAGAGCTGTACCAAAAGATGAAGACTCATCTGCAACATCGATTGCAAGGATATACAATTCACCTTTGAGAAGGCTCCTCACGTGTATTTCTGCTACAACACGGGCGCATACCCTCTTTACAAAAAGAAAAAAAAGAAAAGAAAAAAAAGACAGATATGGGTGTTTCGTTTCCTCTGTTGTATCTCACTTGGGTTTCTTCTGGTTATTTCAGCATCCCTTTGCCTGTTCGGTGATAGATCACGGCAAGAACTTGCATCGTCCACCCAGGAAAGAGCCTCAAAATTGAAAAAAATGTAATATACAAACACATACAGAAGATTCTATTACTATTTTTATGTAGTTTTCTGTATAATGTAGATGGTCTACCTCGTCTCCCAATCAAAAACACCATCGGTAGTGCCGTAGCGATCTCGGACCGTAGGTTCGCGGGTTCGAGTCCCGCCTCGGCCATGGTTGTATTTGTGTTCCTCCTTTCAACCCCTATCATCACCATATCATGTCATCTTCACAGTTACCATATCGTTAAATGTGCTAGTGATCGCTAATGACCTAGATGTTGATGAAAATTTCAATTAAAAAAATTATCGTTTGGCATGACTTTAGCGGATTCCATTGTTTATCTGTTTTTTACCCTACCCGGCCCACAGTGCGACGTGCCGGCAGGCATTTGCTGGCGCGGTTTCCTGCACCCAGCCTCTTCCTTCACCTCCTCCTCCTCCTCCTCCTCCTCCTCTGCGGCCGCCGCCACCACGCCGCGCTGCGGTCGCTCGCCGCCCGGCCGCGGCTCGTCCACACTTCGCTTCGCCCCGCGCAGTGTGGTCGAGCAGAGGTCAGCAGGCGGAGACGGCACGCGACGCCATGCTTCCCACCGCGCGTGCACCTCGCCCCGCGACACTCGCCTTCCTCGCCGCCGTCTCGGGTGAGTCGGGGCCGATTCCGCAGGGTGAGGCAGAGCACGACCTCTCTTAAGCGGCCACTTCAGCAATCGGTTACATCAAAACCAAACACGTCACCATTTAAAACTATTTAATTATTTATGTAAAAAATATTATTTTGTTTGCTCTTCAAATGTTTGTGTAATTAATAGTGAGATAGCTTCAGATTAAGCCGGATCACCATATTCAGTTACCGCAAAAATAAATACGCAATCTTGTAGAAAGATTCTTTGCTAATTAATTTGAATGCTCTTCAAACTTCCGCCTTTCCTTAATGGTGAGTTTCTTGGCGCGCCCTCCGGCAGCTTAATCGTAAGCTAATTCGCCATTAATTACGCAAAAAAAAATTGAAGAGCAAAACAATTTTGCGTAATTAATTAGGAATTAAATAGTTTTAAATGGTGGCAAATTTGTTTTTGTGGAACTGATTGTTGTAGTGCCAACTTAAGAGAGGTCAGACCACGGTTGGATTTAAAACCAAAATCAGCAGTGGCTTAGGGCACACCGTTCCGCAAAAAGTATTCAAAATTCACTGATATATTTGCATCTGTGAAATAATTGTTTATAAAGTGTATTTGGCATTTTCAATCAACGGTTCGACTTTGCCGGCTTACTAACGGTGTACCCCGTGCGACCTAGTTAAGTCCTCATGCTAGGGGGTGAGAGCGTCATTGTGGCAAACATGACGTATTCCCTTTACCGTATCTAGCAAGATCCCACTGCCTGAGCTTTTCTTCACCACACAACTACAGACACTGGGACGATTTTAAAGCAAAGCTACAACTAATTTTTCCTCGACCAGGACCACACCACGGGAAGCTACTACGCTGCTCGTGAGCCATCCTAGAGGAATTGTTACTAAAGTAGTTTATAATAATGAAAAGTTTGTAATTTAAAGTTATAAAGTATCTCTTTATCTTGTATTTAAAAATTAAAAACTATTTAACGTTACGTACACTTAAATTTTTGAAACTGAATATAAAAATTGTTACATATTTTTTGGGGAGAGACGCCCAAGCACTATTGTCTGCATCTGTCTAAGTCGACCCTGCGACATAGAACTAGGCAACAACTGTTTTGAAACGGTTCGGTTTTCTTGTCTTATCCCTTGACAAGCCCTCGTGGTCGAGTAGACTTCCAACGCCACGAGATCACAGAATGAAAACGGAGAACGCCAGACTGGATTCCGTATGTTGAATTTCGTGGTTTAATTAGGAAATAGTTTTAATTTCGTTCACATGTGGGAAATTTTTTTAGGTAAGAGGTAATATTGAAATTTAGTCAAAAACACAATTTTGAACTCTTGAAAGAATGACAGAAACAGTGAGAATAACTATTAGTTTAGTTGTGGTGTGCACTCTGAATGAGCAATAAAGACAATTGATAATTGCCTCAAATACACTTTTCATTGTAAATTGTTTAATTTATTTTAAGTACTTCGAATTTTGTTATTACCCGAGGAGGTCAGAGATTGGAGCCTCGACATCAACTTGGAACGCACTGTCAATCGTCAATTATGCTCTAAACGTATTGCAGCCATTAGGCTACTGTAGCGTCGTGCACAAACATTGTTGCAGGTGACCATGTGTTCGTCTCATAGCAGAGCACTTGGGTTAAGGGTGGGGCGTCAGGATGAGACGTAGCGTAAAAACCCAGAGAAAGGGGTGGAAAACGCGACCAGCCGAGCTTGGCAGCGGCGGCGCTTCAACGAGCCCTTTGCTCTTCGGAGCCGAGCTGGCGGATCGGAAGCAGCGCGCCGGGGGGGGGGGTGCGGACCGCGTGCGCGTAGGAGGGTAGGGCCGGCAAAGTACTTTGTCGTGAAGTAGTTAGACTGGCGTGACGACTCGTGTAGGAATTCTGCGGTGCTTCACACGATCGGATCTATTCGATATTTAAGTAGAGAGTGTGGTAGCCGTAGAATAAAAATTACTTCTAGTAGTGGGATCGATTTCTTTCTTTCATGTAACTATTGTAGATAAGGTTTATTTCGGTGGTGAATTCATTAATTAACTAGCAATTAGTTAAACCCACTCTCGTCTCTGCATTATTGCATCCTGCCACAATACTTATTTCGTTTGGGATGTCTCGTTGTCGTTCTCCATGTCCTCGTGGTGGAAACGTTTTGCCAGTAATTTGATTGTTGTTGCGTTTTGCGACTGGTTCTGTCATTCTATAATCAATTTGTTAAGGTCGATGATAGGGGGAAGTTGGAGTATGTGTCAAGGATGTTTTTCGTTTCTATCTCTTGGAGGAGGGATCTTTGAATGTTGTGATGGTTTGTGAGAAGTGATTATAGGTTGTATCTGTGAGGAATTTATGGACGGGACGGGATTTGGAAGAGGTTTTGGGTAAGGTATTGATAAGAAGGATGTTACGTTCGGAGCGGATGTCATTAAATCTTGTGTACATAGGAAAATTAGTGTGCCTAATGTAATGGATCATAAACCTGAGAAATAAAATAAATTAATATTTAACTTTTAATTATTTTACCACACGCTGGGGCAGTCAAATCTGTTAGTGTTAGTAAAGTTGATGTGAAATAAACGAATAACAATTTGGTACACTGACCGCCAAGCCTACAGTGGATAATTTACTCAACGAAATCACGAAAATATTTAGTTTATGTTCCTTACAGTACAAATTTAAATTTTTATAGTGGATCCACAAAGTCGCATTTGTAGAAGAAACCGAAAAATATTATATTTATTTGGGAACCTGGCTCTCTTTTATTCTTTCTCCTATCATTGGGTTCCTGTTACCTACTAAAAATATACCCAGATTTTCAACAATGCTGGCAATGTATTTAGCAATTATTTATTAGTAACCATTTTTCCGAATGATTTTGGGTGAATTCAGCTCTCCGCCGTACATACACTAGCTTTATATTACCCAAAATGATAACGACATGTATAGATACCCTTTTCACATATAAACACAACCTAACTTGACAAAACAAGTCCAAATATCCTTCGCTCATTCATACATATTTACTTTACGATTCATTCACATGAGTGCACTCCTTTTCAGAATTAGATTTATTCTAATGACCATTTACTAAAATGATACTTAAACTAATAGCAAGTCTTGGCCTGTTTACGAATTTATTTTGGTAAAATTTTGGCACCTCCCTGGTTGCTGGTACGCTGGACCGCGTAATAGCGCCGCCCCAACCGCTGCAAATGCCTGCGTCCACTTGTTCCAGTTGCCATGTTCTCCTGTTTTCCAAATTCCCAATTAAAAAACTCGCGTATTAAATACTAACACTAGGAGTGTCAATTTTACGTAATCGAAAACTTAAAAAAAAAGGCTACATGAAATCATACTCGGCCTCCGCCACCGATGTTGCCAGTCGAAGATCACAAACCTGTCTGTCCATATGTATTGTTGCATTGTTCCTTCTTACACCGCGCTGTTTGAAAACAAACGACAGCTCTTCCATTTGTCAAGCTTGCTGTAAATTTCTATATTCCAACTTACAAATGTCTTTGGATTTCTGTAATTTCTTCGTTGCAATAATTTTCTAATTAAAATCCAAATAATACATTTAAAATTCTTTCAGTGTTCCAAATTCCTAATATTGTTATATCTAAACGGTTATGTAATCACTCATTATTTGTAAAAACATTAAATTGTCTTTGCCTAATATATTAACATTTACTTAATGTTTTTCGTTACTCTTAAAATAACCTAGAGTTCTAGCGACTGTTTATTTATTTCCTAATGTTCTTTGTTTAGTTATTCACTTCTTACAGATCTATCAACAGCACAGTTCCATGGATTTTCAGAAATAAGTAACACTTGTCTCACTATTGCACCTTCGACTGTTTGTCTCTTTATTAAATATGTCGATTCCCGTTATTTTTTTGCAGTATTAATTTTCATTGGGACGCGTCGGAATAGACCGTCACAGTACATAGGAAAATTAGTGTGATAATTTTGTTTTCAAGGATGATAAGGATGTCGTAGTCTTTACTGCAGGATGTGGCTATGTAAAATGAGCTTATGTAATGATGGGGTGGATATAGTTGTATATTGTACGTATTTGGTTCATTGTGTTTGTGGATGAAGAGGGGATAAAAGGAATTTATTATTCTCTGAGCTTCATTGCCACCTGTTGGATGTGGAAGGGGCAGCAAAGTGCACGGAAGAAGAGAAGTCTATATATTTAACAGTCGGCTGCCAGGGGATGAGATGTTGAGCAATTTGGAGCGGGGGAGAAAAGGAGCGTCGAGATTATAAACAGTTCCGGTCGCGTATATTTCATATTGTTTATATTATTGTGCCAATTATCACAATTGGAAGGATAAGTTCATAATTGGTCCATCAATGTCTCCTGTTGGGCTTGTCAGGTATTACCAAATAACCAGATGAATTGTATTCTTGAGTTCACTTGTTTCTAATCAAATAAAAATTGTGCTGACAGTAGTTAAACTATCTTTTACTGAAGGTACGAATGCCGACTTCAACTTTCGGCGAATCAAAATTAGGTGAAAACTACCCATATTTTCCAAAAATATTGGTCGTGATTTCAAGATGTCTTTGAACAACAGATTTTATTTAAAAGGCAATGTCTTCAATATTGTAGTTGGAGGAAGAAATCGAAAAAACTTTGAACTTGAGTAATTTTTCGAAAAATCTGGGATTTCAACAAAAATGAGACCTGCATCATTCTTTCTTATTTATTTAAGGTCACCTCAGAAACAACTATGTATTGGCGACCGCAGTTACAAAATACAGAACTTACAAATATACAGAAATCTGGCAAGACGTATACATACATTTTAGATAGAACGTTAAGTACTTGTATATGAGATTGATATCTAATTAATTGCTGAATATAATTTACGACATTAAATTAGGTAAGAAGTTAAATAATCTTCAAGTATCTCGAATAACAGTTGAACAAACAATGAAGATCACTATTAATATTAAGATTTGTTCTTTCAGTCGTTATCACATGGCAATAAGGTGCTTTGTACATACTGGAAGACCGCAATTTGGGCACAGATCAGGTATAGACATTTTCATCAAGTAGCTGTGCCAAAGGTTAAAATGGCCGATATGCAACCTGGTTATAACCAGGTCGTTTTAACCTTTGTCAAAATTACCTGATGATAGGTACCTGCGTCATTGTTTTAAGCATTTTAAAAAATATTTCAGAGCAACATTAATCTAAAAATTTGGAGCCATGAAAGTAGCCCTCAAAATTAAAATATACTTTTCAAACACGAGGTACGTGGAGTTCTCTTCATATCGATCGTAGAATATTAATTTGGGAGAAAATCGTCTGAACAATTTAGGCACTAGCGTTGACAATTTTGCAATCTAGAAACAAGATTAATCCGCTTTTTCGTTACCAGTGCCCAGAAATATGATTTTTTCAGTTTACCCCGCTTCCGGTGTATTATTACAGCACTTTCTCTTCTTACAAAGGAAAGCGAGAAATAAAAAAAATTCGCTAAAGGTTAAACAATTGATAATCTTATCAAATACTTGAAAAATTATGTCAATGCAAAATGATCCTCGCTGCTGCTCTCTACCTATATAAGATTCTTCTCTCTTAATTTGACCAGTGAAAGGGGGAAAATGTAGATACACTACTTAGTATTTATAATTTTAAATATCGTTATTGAAATGGGGAAAAGTGGATTGTGATTTTTTTTAAATCAATAATTGATTTTGTGCAATAATGGTATTTTCCTTACAAGTTTGGCTATTCGAATTTTCTTTCCTAGACATTTTTTCTTTTCTTGGTTTAGAATGATTGTTGTAAATAACATTCGAATTTAAATATTTCGAAACAGGAATCCTAAATATCTTTTCTGTTCAATTTTTCCATGTGGAAACTTTTCAAACTCTTTTCTCGATACAAACGAGTCCTTCCTTTGTCTGTGCAAAACGACTAGTGTTTTCATTACAACAAAACATTTTGTAATCCTCAAACTTGTTACAGGATGATGTATGGTTACGTTAAGTAAAGGATTGCACCAGTTTTAGAGAATAATCAATGATTATAAAATGTTCTTATTACTTTTCAGCGATTTTGGTTCAGTACTCACATGGATCACATTTAAATGGAGGTCGATGGAAGAGGCAATCTCCCTGTCGGTAGGTGTAAATATTATGTAAACATTAATAAGTAAATAATGTAAATGAATTAAGAAAGGTATAATCACGCAGCATTGTGACAATTGTTTCCAAAGAAAATCTTATGTATTCAGAATGCTCAAAACTTGTTTTACTAACAAGTGGATTGCAAAATATTAAGAACAAAACGAAAGTAGCATTGTAGCAAAGTATACTCTTGTAAGGAAAAATGAGCAGATAGACCTCCAGGAAAATAAAAGCAAATTTGAGGTCTAATTTAATTTAAATTGCGGAAACATTATATATTGTAATAGTCTGTCACACACACACACACACACACACACACACACATTGAAATGACAAGTTTGTATGTACACTACTCTTCGAGATATTTCGTATATTTTTCCCTGGGTACCGAACTATCGTGCTGGTGTACTACGGTACCGCCAAACTCCTAATGAAATTTTGTGTAAACATCACCTGGACTCTTGAGATCTCCATCCAGACATACAACAGAGTTCGTTAAACTAATTGAAGACCCCCCTAAATAAATAAATTTGCGTCCAAAACATCCACTAAAGCCGAAAAAATGAAATTTAGGGGGGAAACCGCTAACCTGGCAACACTGTTCAAAGGTCCGAACGAGCCGCGAAGGGTATGTTAAAGGAGCGCTAGGAGCCTAATACAGCTCGTGTCGTCAGCGAGTGTACCCAGGGACTATAAACTCAAGAGGAATGTGCCTTGGAACGCGCGGCGACATTTTAGAGGTGGACTAAATTTATGTCCAAAGATTATTTAAATTTGTAATTTGAGTAAATTATTCATATATTTATATATTTTAGAAATTATACATGTTTAAATAAATGCAATTTTGATATCTGAAGATGGTTGGTTTCCTTAATATATTCTAGTGTAAAATTTAGACATCTACATAATTTTAAGAATTTTAAGTAAAACAACGATATAAAAATAATTACGCGTAACTAAAAAAACAAAATCTTTATAAATTTATGTTATTCTTATATACCAAAATGTACAATTTAAAAATTAATTTCTTTCCCGTAGAAAAAATTGATCATGCATCAATTATTACTGAAATCGTATTTAGTTTTAGTCCTAAATATGTGTTTCCAATTTTTAAACATAAATTATTCTTTATATTATGTAAAACTTTTTTGGGGGGTAATTTAAAAAAAGGTGGCAATTTTTCGCATGCCAAATTTTTAATCCACCTCTGCGTCCCAAGGTATCGATCGTTCCCATCCTTGACAGGAACCTAGGTAGATTTCGCTGTCAGGCGAGTAGCGCGCTGGCCCTCGGAGAGTGCTGAAGCAAGCCAGCGGGAACAATCGATAAGAGAAGCGTTTTGTCTTGCTCGGCCACGTTTCTAAATCACGTCATGACATGCTCCAAAGCAAACGTTTTGTTGAACTCTTCTTTTGCTTGTAGTGGTAGGAGTAGAGGTAAGAGAGAATTACTACTTTGTTAACAATGCACAAAAAATCAAATCGGCAGTTTGTTTGCAAATACGTTTTCTAAAACGTGGGAAGGAGAATGTCTAGTTTTCAAATGTTACTAATCTCGTGTTTTTTTATTTTAACTTTTTCTCATCTTTCAACTATTTAGAGTTACAATGATGGGAAAGGATTCTGGAACTCAAGAAAACGTGCGCAGATGATCTTCTCCCCCATACGTCACATACAGTTTTTAGTTGTTGTTTTTTGACTAAATAAATCTAATGCACAAGCCAGGGTACTGCTTTCAACTTCAAATATCTAAATATATTTGATTTAAGAACTTCATTTGTGCCTATTATTGAAATGAATTTTTTAAATTCTAATCTATGTATTCTTCTGATCTTTTAATTCTTTCTTTTCAGACGCAACCAGTTCCCATGTAATTCTGGAAAATGCATTGAAGTATTTCTTTTGTGTGATGGAAAAATCCATTGTGACGATGGAAGTGACGAAACTGCCACCATTTGCCAACGGAAAACGTAAGATATAAAGAAATTAAGCACCACATGTTAATAGTTTTTCACAAAAATTAATTACATTCACAATTCCATTCCATAATAGTATCCATGCACTGAAATGTGGCATAGTGCCTATAGTCATACTGAGGTGAGAGGAAAAGCTTGGTGTACTTTGATCTCATGTTAATTCACAGGAATTTTATCGACCCTCTATTTTATCCATCAAATATTGTGGTATTATTAGTCTTGTTTGTGGAAATATTTCGTACTTTATAAATCATTGCTAAAAAACAGATTCTTATTGAAGCCAAACTTCAACTAGTAGGCCCTTCATTGCCACTTACTTGATAGACACATGAACTACGCACATACTTGATATTTTTGATCCACAGCGTTTTACGACACCACTTCATACATTTCACTTCCGTTTTACATGCCACTTCATAATTTTCCCGTGTCCGTTTTCTGATAATTTTACCTCACTGATGTACCCGTGACGATTTCAGAAATATGATTTGTATCGTACTTACTTTCTACATCTCGTGGTTCTAGGAATGATGAGATAAATTCTTACCCACCTTCGAATCTGTCACTGCGCAATACTCTCTCTCTCTCATGGGTATCTTCTCCGCAGCTATCTACCGCGCACTAAAATAAGGAGCTGTAAGGAGAACGCTCTCCGCTCGCCAGAACCAGCTAACGCTGTCACTTTTCTTCATTGAACACTTAATGATTATTACACTGGGAATGCTAATTGGCGATGTTTAAACCTTTTCAAAATGACAAAGCGTAAACAGTCGTTTTAGCAGACACCAGAGAGAATTTCTTCAGAAAAGCTCTCCCAATATTTCGCTGCTTCAGCTGTCCCTGAAATCGACAACGCAGTAATAATTAATTACGAGGATTAATTTTGAATAACATATTTACAATTTTGCAGTAATATATATGTTTAAAACAAGTATAATTGTGACTTTCTCTGGAGGCACTGGAGAGATGGTCGTCACGCGACGAAAAGCGTACTGAGTGAATAGTCAACGTGTGTTCAAATTACATCATTTGATTTCATCAAATATCGTTAACGTATTTGAGAGCGTAGGCTTCCGCGGCCGGAGTCAGTATTTACGAGGCTGTCCGGGTGACGCTGCGTCCATGGCGAAGGTGCCGACGTTTCGGTCGCCATTCTGCGGCCTTCCTCAGGGCGTAATGTGTCGCCGAATTGCGACCGAAACGTTGGCACCTTCGCCATGGACGCGACGTCACTCGGACAGCCAAGTAAATATCGTTAATGTATTTTTTTATAAACATTACTGTACTGATTGTCTAATTCGCAGATGTCCAAGCCAAGCATTCAAGTGTAAGTATGGAGCTTGTATAGACCTAAATGGTTTGTGCAACGGCGTTGAAGAATGTGTAGATGGATCCGACGAAACGTCTTGTACTGCCAGTACAAGACCATCAGAGCCGGAGAATTCTTCTGCATTGGGGCCACCGATGCAAAGTGGTTCTGAAGGTGCATTTTTTATTGTAATACAATATGTAGAGGCAATAAATTTCTGATCTAGAAATGTGTTTGTATTTTCCACACAATTAGATGAACAAATGTTTCAGTTTTTATGCAACATAAGAGAGGCGTGATTCACTACATTGTATATTTCTGTTGCGCTGATTATATCATACGATTTTAAAATTCAGAGAACGCTGTGTCAGGGGAATGTTTGGGAATGGAAGTAACATTTTCACAATTAATAACCCTCCTTTTTCTTAATATATAACAAAAATAGTTTTCTGTTTCAGTACGTTGCCCTGCATTGACAATCCCATCAAGAGACATAACCTGTAAACTGAATGATAGAAGGGTAGACTGCTCCGAACCAGCACTCCCTGGTACCACAGCAATGGTGGAGTGTAGAGGTTTTTATTTCAATAAAGAAGAATCTTCTTTTGATACCATTTGCCAGTTTAATGGACAGTGGTCTCGACATGTTACACCTTGCCAACCAAGTACGCATGTTTTATTCTCACCTTTTTTAGTTTACGATTGACGAACATTGGTTAACAATTTTTTGAATAGTGGAACGACCGGGGTAATTCACCGTACAGGGAAACTAGGTTTAAGTGTGTCTTGCACGTTGTATTTGTACGTAAAACTAAGCGTTTCACATCTTCAGATGTCATTGGTCAACGATATTTTTTTTGTCCTTTTTTATGAACATTTAAGTAATTTCATTATTGAAAGTTGATATGACCATCAAGGTTGTCGTGGTTAATATTTATCCAGATATTAACAATGTTTTTATGTACATTTGATAATTTTCTTGTTGACAATTGACAGTACGTGATGAAAAAATCCTTGTTTATACTAGTCGTTGCACAAATAAGATGTAATTTCTGACCCACATCGAAGCTGGTTACATTGGAATGTGAACTATCCCAGAAGTTTTTCGATTCATAATATACCGAGGGTTTTCAGGATTTTATCTTTCTCACTATAATATTAAATTGTAGAAGTATAGAAACAATACAATAAGAAGAAACTCTCTGTCTTACCATTAGTAGCTGGGACGGCCGATATCATTTGTTTCGGGTATAAGAGGCCTGCCCCTCTAGTCGGTGGTTTCCTCTAAAACTTGAAAGTGGATACCGCAGTATTTTATTAACCAACAGATCACGAACCACTCACAACCCCCCCCCTTTCACATACATTCCATATACCTCTCCTTAGAGACGAACGATAGTTCAAGTGAATACTTGTCAGTAAAGATGTCTGTTTCTCGAGGAAATGATATTCAAGAGAATTATAACCCCAGGAGAAATATTAGAAGAAACCTCAGAAGACATGAAAAATGTAGATTGGGAAAATTGTTCGTAAATTCATTTTGGTAAAAATTGTAGTCTTTGCAAAATATGGAAAGAATAATCCAGCAACTGTGATCAAGAAAATACCTGTGAATATTTCTCAATTGGATAGAATTCTTTTAATAAATAATTAATGTATAATATTGTCAAAAAAATTGTGATTGCGTTTCAGAATGTGGTGAACCTACTCCAGAAGGATTACCATTTATAGCTGGTGGAACAAAAGCTAAAAACGGCGAATTTCCTTGGCATGCTGGTATCTATAGATTCAATCATGATAGAGAAAACTACGAACAAATATGTGGTGGTAACGTCATTTCTGAACGTCTCATTGTTTCGGGTAAGTCAAACTAACGATCAAAAAAAATTTTGCCGAATCCAAAAAAAAAAATCGTGTACTTAAGAAGTATGTGATCAATCTTGTACACTAAGAGAATAAATTGACTGATTGACAAATCAAAGAAGAGCCAATCTACTAAAGATAGAAACGGGAAAATGATAAATTATATATATTTCTAACCCATGTTTGTGAACACGAGAAAGGATTTTTCAAAGTTCACACCCCTGAAAAGGAAAAAATGTCATTTTGTAGCAATTTTTCTTTCTCGCAAACGTACGTATATTCGGAGTAATATACGTAGTGTTATGTAATGCTGCCCCCCCAAAAACTGAGAATTTTTGGCAAAAATAATTCCAGATTCTAATAATAAAGCAGTGGATAAATCCAGTTGCTAAATTTAGAAAAAACTCTAACACGTGTTTTAAACAGAATCCCTGCTTTGCGGGTACTTGATACCGAAAAATCAATTAAGCGCAATACATCCTCCGTCTGTCCGTTTATAAACACAACTAGCGCCTAAATCATACGTAGAATTTTGCAACACGCTGGTTCGTTACCAGGGTCCTGTAATCAGAAGGTTTCTGCCGAAAATTCGCAGTTTTTCGTGCCGCACTACATAACTTTCTCTCTACTCTGTAGAATGTAAAAGATTATTCAATGTTTGGCTGTGCAAATGAAACTACAATCGTACATAGTTTCTCGCAGTGGCGGATACAGGAGGAACATGAGTTTTGGTGCTTTCCTATCTTTGATAAAAATGATTAAAATATATATATATATATATATATATATATATATATATATATATATATATATTAGAATTGTGCATTATTTAAAAATAAATTTGCTTAGTATTGTGAATACACTTCAAAATAATATACAACATAATAAATATATTCATTATTTAACAAAATCTCTGATGGTTCCCCATCCTAAAATGATCGTCTAGAATCATGCCTGATATCTCGCATAATTTGTAAGAATTAAATATAATATTATACTACTTCATGACCCCACAAAAGTCTTTACAACCAGCATTTTTGTATCTGCGCTGGGATTCAAACTCAGATTCTTAGAGTTAACAATCCAAACGCCATCGGCCTGACAGGAAACAACCTTCCCGGCGCTTAAAGTAGTTGAATATTTGCATTTGTAAAAATTCAATATTTTCATGTACATTATTTCAAGATTTAGTTTGAAAGAACAAATTTTCTTTACGAGAAATCATCAAATTTGTAGTTTCATAGTGTCAATTGTTTATTTCCAATTTTCGAAAATATAGAGGTCGCTGAAAAAGGAACTGCGCCTTTTTGTAAAGCTCTTTCTTCTTTATCCGAAGAAAAAATTGAAAAAAATACTTTGGAGGCATTATAGAGAATATTTTTATTTATTAAAAATTTAAAAGATAATTTTTTTACAATTTTTGCCAAAATAAAAGGCCTATATATCTTCCTAATATAAAACCATTATATTGATAAAATATACTACATTTATGCTACAAATTTTTCCAAAACGGTTTTCTAACGTTAAGTCATCCAGTGAATTATTCTGAAATGTTTTACACGCAGCCAAAATTGCTGTAATATCTCAGATTGTAAAAAAATGATTAATTGCATCATATTTTGAACAAAAAGCAGAATCATTGATTTTCCGTTTCCTAAAACATGTAAACTATAAAAAATTCCGTGGAATCTCTTAGCTCCTCCTTAGTAAAACTGTGGTTAGTAAATACTGGAGTAACGTCAGATTGTTTCATCTATTTTTCTGTAAAATGTATAGTTTTCTGAGAGAAACGTTGAATATTTACTTTCAATTACTGAATGATTGCAGCTGGTCACTGTTTTTGGAATATGGCTACTTCATCGATCGTTGATTTAAAAGATTATAAAGTAGCAGTCGGCAAATATTATCGAGAATGGAACAATAATCGAGACATGGTATATGTGCAGACACCAGAAGTGAGTATGAAAATAAATATAATGGAAACATTTTTATTAAATATGGTACACCACTTTATGAAGATTAATCATTTTACAGATAGAGAAAGTAGTAACGCCCCAGCGTTTCAGAGGAAATCTTCGAAGCTGGCAAAACGATATTGCACTAATTAAGCTGAAGGACGTCATACGGATGACAGTAGCTGTTCGACCTATTTGCATAGACTTCAATAATAATTACAACCGCCAGTTTGTTCCCGGCACAAAAGGAATTGTAAGTAACCTTTCTTTCATTTTCATTATTTATTCTTGCTATTTGCATCGTTAATATCACGAGTGTTTTGGAATGTATCTATAAATCTCCGACTCGCGAATTGAAAATGACAAGTTCCACAAATCATGCCTGGGTATTCCAGAAACCGCTATCAGACCGTTAACTATCGCCTTGTCAGGATCCGAAACAATGGCACAATCAATCCAACTTTCTCAATTTAAGAAATGCCTAGATTTGAATTTTGTTTGAGAATATCAAAATGCAAGGATTCGAACGTTTTCACAACTTCACTTTCAGTGTGTTTGTCTGCATTTACTAAATTGCAACTGAATTCGCCCAGCATGATCATGACGCTATCGTAAGGGCTTACAACAGCGGAAAGATGGTCTTCCAGTACTTTTAATGTTCTGGTTTTCGGTGGCCAGTACACAACTATATCCATGCAACGTTTCACAACTATCAGAGTTTGTGCAAATAAAAATTCAAGACCAGTCAATTCTGTGGCGGATTAATGTAACCGAGTTTTAAATCATTCCGTATATACATGGCTACACCACCACCCGATTTATTAGTTACTCACTCTGTAAGAATATTATCTTGACGTAATATTGTATAACCAAGTATTGCGACGATGTGCGATGAAATAGATGTTTTCAGCCACGATGCTCTAATAATAATACATGAAGGTTTCTTTTTATCGGAAAATTCCAAGAATTTCATCATTGCGGTATTTACATGACGAGGAAAAGCGGTCTAAGTCCCTTTGAACTGCTCAGCAACGACCGAGAAGGTATTGAATACCGCTAAATCTACCGTTGTATTTCAATACATCTATGAAATACCTTTATTATTTTATACCGGTATGGACGTCTGAAAAGGTTATACCGGTATTATCAATGTAAAATAATGTCCCTCACACCACCCTTACAGAGAAAATAACTTCCTTTCGTTGTCATTTTGCAAAATGCTTAATAATAAAATAAAAAAATCATGTAAGCACGCACACACTTGCATTCACGCACGAACGCACACGCGTTCACGCCCGCCCAAGGCACGTGCATGGGCAAGCCCACTCACACGCACCTACTCAGTCACCCACTCATTCTCTCGCTCTCACTCACTCTCTCGCCCTCTCTCATTCACTCTCTATCTCTCTCTATCTCACTCTCCCTATCTCACCCTCTCTCTATCTCACTCTCTCTAACTCACCTTCTCTCTGTCTGTCTGTCTGTCTCTCTCTCTCTCTATCTCTCTATCTCTCAATCTCTCTATCTCTCTCTATCTATCTATCTATCTCTCTCTATCTATCTATCTATCTCTCTCTATCTATCTCTCTATCTATCTCTCTATCTATCTCTCTCTCTATCTCTCTCTCTCTCTCTCTCTCTCTCTCTCTCTCTCTCTCTCTCTCTCTCTCTCTCTCTAACACTCACACAAACACACGCACAGACATACTCGCCAGAAAATTTGCTGTGACAAAAGGTCAAACATCCGTCACTCACATTTCAATGCTTCAATCTGCTAAAAGAAACTGACATATTGGAATGTGTTGAAAGCTATAACCTTTGACTAAACGAAATCCAATATTTAGGGCCGAATCATAAACGCTGACCTCCGGAAGCTAAGCTGACTGCCCAACGGCGGCGCTGCCCTCGCTTACACTGTGGGCAGTTCCGAGAACGGAAGTTTTTCTTTGTACGAAAAGGGAATTCCATTTTAAAATATTCATTATGCGATTCTTATTTCACGAACTTAAACTGTTTTGGAATGATTAATAATAACTCACAAGTTTTAAAACGTGTTCTACATTTGCTGTTAAAACGTTACGTGAATATGAAAATTTAATCAAGTTAAAAAAATAGACAATAAATATTATTGTAATTAATTATGAAAAATTTATTATTGCCCATTTCAGTTATTTTACTATTTTAGAATATTATCGAGTAATATAACGAGTAAACCATGCATCTTGGAATGCATGTTAAAATGGTAATTGTGTACTTGCAAAACTTGTGTTCTGAAGTCTACATGTGCCGGTGCAAATCTCGGAAGATACGCTGGCTGTACGTAAAAATGCCTTGCAGATCATAACCAAACACTATTCCAACTCTCATTTCAGGTAGTTGGATGGGGTATGACAGAAAAAATGCTACCAGGAGAAGTCCTTTACAAAACAAATCTGCCATATATTAGTTTCGAGGACTGTGAAAAGGAGGTCCCAAAACCCTTCTTGATGTTTCTTACTAATGACAAAATTTGTGCAGGTTATCGAAATGGTAAGTAATAATAAAATTGTATATGTGTCATGTAAAGAAATGTTTGTGCATTTTACGTTAACTAGTCGCAGTTTCAGGAACGTTTTATTTTATTTACATAATTTTGTTTATTTATGGCATAAAACATTAAAAACGGCAAGAGACATGTTTCGGGAATGTACAAACTGCGCTCATAACCAGCCCATTTACTTTGGCAGATTTATTCTTGGGCTTTCAAAATTGGTCGTTTTTTCTTGTTATGAAAATACAGCTCTGAAAATGTCTGGATTCAGTGGTGCATAGTAAGTCTCCATAGAGCGATGAATTAATTTAACAGACAACACTGCTCCAATATGACTATGACTGCAACAAAAGTAATGTAAACCAATATAATTTTATATAGCTCGAATTCTTCTCTTTGGATGTTTTAGCTCGAGGTTAATGCTAACAATAAATAGTATTAAGTAAGTGCGCCGACAGGAGTAACTATCTACAAACAAAAAACCAACGAATTTTCCATTGAACAAACTAAAACTTGGAATTCCATTAAAAGGAGAGTACCTTCCGAGGTAGTTAAAGTTATAGGTAAAGCTTATTAACAGGAGCAGTCTTATTAACAAAGGTTTCTTAAAAAGGGGGAGAGACGTTTAATAACTATTTTCGTAGTGTGTAATTTCTGTGCGCGCGAGTGTGAGTGCGCATATATGTATATGTATGTGTGTATATATATATATATATATATATATATACATACATACATACATACGTGGGCGCGTATGTGCAAGATCGTGGTAATGTGTGTACATTTGTGTGCAGCTGCGTGTGTGTTCGTGCGTAACTTGTGAATACAAATTGACGAAATAAATTGTTTTTACAGGCACAAGTGTTTGTCCAGGAGATGGCGGCGGAGGCTATGCCACCCAATTCAGTGATGGAAGATGGTACTTGATGGGAATTGTAAGCGTCGGGGTACCTGCCAGAAATTCAGAAGCGTGTAATGTTGAGCAATACGCAACGTTCACGAAAGTGTCCAATTATTATAGTTTTATACAACAAAACCAATCTCAATAATGTTACAAAACTGCAAAAAACAAAATACTCCATTCACTTTGGAACTCGTATGTTTGGTACTAGAATTGGGCACCAAAAGTCGTCATGTATTTTATTACGTTTTATTCAATTAAAAAGCAATGAAAACGTTTGCGACTTTGTCGTCTTTTGTTTTAAATCGCTCACCCATCTGCGCAAGTTGTTCGTTATGAAAGATTATTATAAACATTTTGTCCATTAAATGGTTATTGTGTTATTACAATATCTTGCACAACTAAACTTACTTCAGTCATATGTTATTATTTTCTGACATTATGGTTGTTTTGTCGCAAGAAATGACTATAGTTAAACTTTTTCTTATCCACCTCACACATTAAAGTCTATGACATTAAATAAACGAAACAAGAATGGGATTAAAGCAGTAAAATGTTTTTTTAGAGAGAATGAAAAACCAGTAAGAAAAGAAATTAAAATAGAAAAGTTTGACATTCGAATGGACTGAAAATGAAAACATGCGTACAAAGCAAAGATCAATAAGACGTTGCCCGGGCCTCATTCATTAATCCTAATGATTTAACAAATAAGAAAAAAAGTAATGAATTTTATCTACAGTGTAAATTGAAAATAAAATTTATTGAAGAATTTTTTTTTGTTTTTTTGTAATTTGATTACTTCACATATTTCTTTTAGGAAATAAGTTGATTTACATTTACGTCTCGCAACCAAGCGAAGTGCCTCAGGGCGTAGCTCGCTGACTTTGCTTTCGGGAGGCCTGGTGGTGCAGTAAGCAGATGCGGAACAGTGGGCTGTAGATGTTGGGGACGGTATGCTTACTTTACCACTTGCCTCAGAACGCAGTATGCAACGGACGACGACTATCCAATTAGCCGGATGGTCGCTTTGATGCATTTGAAATAAGCTTCAATAATTCTCTAGTAGGAAGAAGCTCTCGTAGAGGGAGAATCACAAGATGTGGAAGTATTTTTACTTAATAAAATTAATTAAACGCTGAGTGATTAGAATGTAAATTGCCCTTGGAAGTTGTGTTAAAACATTGTTTGAATCAGTTGACTGCCAAACTTGCTGTTGGCATAACATAACTGTACACACCTTGTGTACATTAGAACACTGAAAGAATGATTAAATTGAGAATGAATGGCAGTAGTATGACGTAAGTAAGACAACCACCTTGTTTACATTAAAACACACTGACACTATGGTTAAATTGAGAATGAATTTGGCATGTGCTGAAAAGACAAAAGAAAAGAATACCATTGACACCAGAGCGTATACCTGCGTGGCAGCAACAGGCTTGGAGATGTGTCCGATCGTGAGAGGCGATGCGATGACTCCACATGGCGGGCGGCAAGTTGACCCCGAGGTCACACGCAGGTCACCGACACGCAGGTCACGATCATGTCACCGACACAGACCACGGAGCCCATAAGCAACTCAGGTTTCTCAGAAGAAGCGTAGAACTTGGCTTCAGGGCCATTGTGACCGTTACTGTGGCTGACAATAATGGTTGCCAACTGTAGGGAGCTAACTCTGGAGGCCGTGGTGACATGGTTAGGTTGAGCTATCAGCTAGCTGCTTCCAATTTACCTTGGCAACTTTGTTAACAACTCGGAGGACCACCATCTATAATGCGACACGGACGCATTTCCTGCAAGTGTTAGTATCTACAGAGGACGTCATGTAGGGTTGCCACCTTGCCAATTCTAGAAAACCGGAGACCGCTGCAACCGGGGGGAGGGGTAATTACTGAAATCTAAAACGAAATTGACGCAGACTTTTATTTATTTCTTTAAAATATATTTATATATCTTTGGTTTCTAGTGATCTATAAATAATTAACATTTAATCAAAATAGTGTTACTCTTTGCTAACATTCTACTTTTTCCAGCTATACTTTTCGTCTTCTCTCTCGTGTTATCGCCATCATGGTGATAACACGAGAATCGCAAGACCAATTTTCATGTTCTGCTCTTTATCTTTCTAATGAAGAAGGAAAGGACAGATCTCTGATGAAATAGAAAAAGCTTTAAATTTAAAGTTGAAAAATCTATTTATTTTGTAAAAAATTTGAACATGTATTGAAATTGAAAAAAAAACGGTGATAATTTTTCAAAAACCGGAGACCGGAGATGAAGCTCAAAAACCGGAGTCTCCGGTCTAAAACCGGAGAGGTGGCAACCCTAACGTCATGGGTACTTTGGGAGATTTCAGTAGGCATGTACTTGTTAATGGGAACAATGTATAATTAAAACTATGTAAAATACACTTCATTACAATTATGATAATATAAGTTGAGATCCTTTAAATCATTGCAATAGCTGTACGCATGTGCAGTTGCAGATTGATTCAATTGGTTACAATTAATATGCAAAGATTTACATTTGAAGCTTTTTACAGTCGAAGGCTGTGTTGGTTGTAGTTAAAAGATAGCAATGGCTGTAGGCATGTACAGTTGAAGACTGTACTGATTGCAGTTAGCGCTTAGCGTGAGTTCAACTATGCCACAGAGCCATAATACACTAGTGCTGAAATGAACATGGTACACTAAACACAAACACAATCATGATGCGGCGTAGCTTGAAGATTGCACACATACGCAGACACGTGTTGTGAACTGTCTGCAGAGAAGATGGGGCGACGGCTGGCTAGCGCTGGTGGCAACTAGAAGCCCAGAAAAGCCGTGATTGATAATGATACGTACTTTGTTCCTGAAAAATTGTAATGCAATTGAACATGTATAATTTTTTTAAATTCTCTTCCTGTAATTCCATCGAAGTTTTATAAATTCTCAGATCGAAAACAATCACCCACATTTGTCTCTGTTTTTCTCAGCAATATTATTAAAGCGGCACGGTAGCTGCAAGTTTTTTCACATTCTAATCTCAAACTGCTCACCGCTGTTCATTCAACATGTCTGCGCCAAAGAACATCTAAAGACTAGATGTATCAAGTGTAAACATCAAGGATACACTTTTCCGTAGAGGTGTCAGGAAACGACTCGACTGCTGCGACTTAGGAGACTCGCGCTTCGGAGATATTTCGCATCGTGTAAAGTCTACTAAGAGAGTTTATCTCCAGACGTCATGAAAGTTACGAGGCTTTGTCTCTTTGTGTAAGCGCACCCTTACAATAAAATTGCTCCATGAAGTTGTTTCTGTTTTGTTGATGACCAGGCGAAACATAATATCGGCTCTCGCAACGCCCCTCCCTTACATATCACTGTACACTAATTCAGTAAAACTCTGGAATGTGCAAATGTTCGTAAGTGTGAGATTCCGTCACTGGCCTCTAGACCACTTCCCGTGCACCGATTGAGACGTATTGAATTATTGAATTGAATTGAATTGAACGTATAGGGTGTCATTCGACCCGTCTCGGTCTCCCGATGGGGAACTAAAAATTTGTTTTGTGATCACGCTTGAAGATTGACAGAATTTTCCAAAAACGTGTTTTTCCGTGTTTTGGAGCTGCGATCTTAATGATTTATGATAATGAAAAATTATTGCAATTATAAGTTCAAATGCTTGAAATTATTTTTGATTAAGTTTCTCCAAAACACAAAACGCTCCTGTAAAAATGGAATCAAAATACACATTTATAGTCTCAAACGATGTATTTCAAAAATTTGCTCCAAATTTTGGAATGGAAATTTGTTTATAAATACAAGCTTATTTTTCTCCGATATTCACAAAATCGAATTTCATTTCAAATAGGGGACGGTCAAGTTTTAAAAAAAGTGGAAAAAATTTGTATTTTAGGCACCGATAGTATGCAACTTAGAAGAGTCGAAACCGAAAAGGAGGCCCTGAATAAAGAGATTAGGAAACTAACTAGAACGAGAACGTCTGTGCCATTTCGCAACACTAGTTAAAATGAGACCACAAAGGGATTTGAAGTTTGTTCATTCAAACTTTTATTCTTTGAAAACTACTAAGTTTAAATAAAATGTCCGTAAGTTCTTTTTTATTTTTTTTTCAGCTGAGATCAACATTTTGAAAGCTGTTAAGACAGTACGGGAACCACTAAATAGTAACATCTCTAAATGTATTTTTATCCTTTTTCATCAAATCAACTAGTCTGTGTAATTATCGAATTATAGGACAATATAATATTTACTTTTAAAATTCAGAAAAGTCTTATGTTGGATATGAATATTGACATTTTGAAAATACTCTCAAAATCCCCATTTTTCGATGGTATAAATGTTTTGGGGTTTTGAGAAGGTGATGCTTCTACGTTTACCAGCTCCTGAAACCTTAATTTCGAGACAAGTGGTAGCAAGTAAATACTTTTTGTTGACTTTAATGACCCCAAACTTGTTAATAAATTGTAAATATTACCGAAATGAGTAAGAGAGGATACTAGATCTTCCAGCGCCATTATAAACTCTTTTCTGCCGTGTTCTGAGAGATAGCGCAAAATTATGGCGGAAGAATTTTAAGACAGTGGTGCTGAGAACAATACCCACGAATTAAATTTAATTTTCCTGTAACTCAAAATTATCATTAACATGCAATAAATAAAAATAGACCTTCATTTGTTGAAATAATAAAATTATTGAATAAATAACCAAAAACATATCTCATTTTCTTAATATATATATATTACATTTTTACAAACTAAAGTTTGAGCGGATATTACAAGAATAATGTTTTAAAAATTCCATTTTTGATATCTTCCTTTTTTTTAATAATATCTTGTGTATACTAAATTATTATAACTCATTGAGTTGTTCTCGTTTCGTTGTAGACATTTGAGAGGTTTTTACCTTAGGCAAGGTAGTGAATGGTGCTTTACCTAAAAAAATTGCTGGGTAGAGGAAAACAAATGTCTTCGCGGCACGCCGTCTACTTCTCAAGAAGTCCGCCTTGCCTGGCGCGAGCAGAGAGTCGGACCGGCGAGGGATGGGGAGGGGGAAAGAAGGAGGGGTGGGAGGAGGCCTGGCCAGCACCTCTTTCCTCGTCAGACGGCAGTCGGCGACCGCTTCCCGCCGCAGTCGCTGCGTGAACATGCCGCGCCCCCTCGTACTTGTGGCAGGTAAGAGCGTCATTATAGTATTGGCCGAATAATATTTTTGTCTACTTGACAGCTAGTGGCTGACTGGAGAGAGGGAATTCTGTTATCCACTCAGAGGCTTAAAATTCTGCTGAGTTACAGCAGAGTTGCTGATACTTAATAAGAAAAAATGAAATCTTACAACGCGAAACAACTGTCAATTGTTAATTGTGTGTGCGGTTCTGTGTCTTCTACTGTTGCGATTTGTTTCTTGCTACTGTTGTGATCTGATGCAAGAATACCCACACGACCATGTGTCTACTTCCCGAGCAAGAGGCAACAGAGTTCTACCCCAACCCTAGCAATCAAGTAGACAGAAATATTATTCGGATTATATACCGATAAATAGAGGAAGAAATGTATTGCTGCAGGAAATCGTGGTAATATTTTGACAGAAAAACACGTTCTTGGTTCCTGCGAACAACTATTTTGTCGTTTGTTATTTCAAAACATAGTCACCTTAGTTTTAAAGTTGTAGCGAAGATGTAGTAGAACAAAAATTGGAATATTTCAACGACAGGAAACTGTTTTCAATATTGCAAGAAATTATGTGGTTCTGTAGCGTCTTGATTTGTAGTGTGTTTTATAAACATTTTTAATCACTCCGTAAAAATGTTTGTACCAGATTTTTAATGTGCTATAATACCTTTTTTACAGGTGCATACATATTAATTTGTTGTGGATGGATTGATGCATTGATTTCCGATCCTGCAGGTACGATGTATTATTTTTTAGAATGTAGACGCCGCGTAGGTTGTGAAATATTCTGTTTGTTGTGTAAAGATCCAGTTGCCACCGTCACAGCCAATGCTACGACCTCAAACGCGTGTACGTAGACACCGCAATTGGAGAACGGACAATACAAACCAGAAGACAGCCATGACACTACCAATCTTCTGTTTCAGAAAATATTTCTAAAGACCTTCCATTTAGGAAACTACTGTAACTCTCAGTTTGTGATGTCAGTCTTCATTAGTAGTGTATGATGGTGGATGGTTGGCAGAATTTCACTTGTGTACTTTAGGGGAGGCGTATTGCATAATATCTCTTTAATACTTGATATGACTAAGAACACACACACACACACACACACAAAGTTGTCGCACCCAAAGACTTGAAACATGTCTCTCGATTTCGACGCGCTGAATCCGAATCTGAAGCCAGAATTGCACCCTCACACTCCAGCTTTCTTTAAATATCAAAAACCCATCGTGCAATAGTATTACTTTCCCGTATACGTACGTATATTCGATGTAATGTAGTAGTATATGGAAAGTTATGTAATGCTGCGGAAAATCGATTTCGAGATTTCGACAGAAATACACGTTATGTGGTCCCCTGATAGCGAAAAGTGTTTTTTTCCAAAACGTCCGTCCGTCCGTCTGGTGTCTCTGAACACTACTAGCGCCTATAACCGTGCGTAAGGTTTTTTCCAGATTGAAGAAACCAGTGTTGATCTGGCTCGAGTCGAATCTCTGAAATTAAAAAAAAAATCTTTAAAATTTGGAAGTTTTACAAGAAGCCACCCGGACATTTTAATAATTTTTTCAAACATTTTCCCAATTTTTCTTTAAATTTCTTGCAATAATAGACTAACATAGACTTATAAAAGTATCATAGGTTCGATTTTCACGGTTAATCTTGAATTTTCGAAAATTTCAAAAGTATTATTTTTTTCGGTGTATTCTTACAACTACAAAATTGAAGATAGATATTTTTCTTCATATAAAATGTGTTCCTTATAGTGAGTTCTTTAATATTTAAAAATTGCAAAAACAAGATTTTCTCAAAAACGGTCCCAAATTTTTTCTTTAAACTTTTGGTAGGGTTAGTGCTAAATGTATTCTCTATAAGATGACATAAACGCCATATTGCTCTGTACATTTGTTTTTTCAAAAATTACGAAAATGAAATTGTTTTGAATTACCTCTCATAACGTTAATATTTACACTAGCGGCAATTTGCTTACATTATTAAATTTATGAGTACATGTGCTTTAAATATCATTATATTTCTCGAAAACTATACCGTGTTCTGTGAAAACTAGCTCAAAACTTCGCTATTTCAGAAACGCTCAAACGCTATTTTAACAAAAATTACTCCAATTTTTTCTTTAAACATTTCGAACGGATAGTGGTAATTGCACTCTTTAATATGATTTAATTTCCATGTACATTTGTGTTTTGTTTTTTCAAAAATTACACAATTGTATTTTTTAAAAGATGTGTCACGCCGTTGATATGTACATTTCCAGCAGCACGTAATCACTATTGTATTTGTGAGTTAAATGACTTCAAATCAAGCTTTTCGAAAACTCAATCATTTTCTGTGAATAAGCTTCAAATTTCGAATTTACAGTAGTGCTTAAAGTTTTTAAAAACGGCTCCAAATTTTTCAAAGAAAATTGCCGTTTTGAACGACGTTTTACTGCTCTGTAATAATCTTAAAACAATATTACCGCTATACAATAAGGAAACCGAAAAATTAGGAAAATGTTTGTGTGGCGAAAGATGGCTGCGGGCAAGAATATATGGCAAGTTCAAATAGCTAACCGAGACCAAAGGAAATAGAAAACTAATCCGGGAAAGTCTGTGCCATTCTGTAGCACTAAAGAATTTTTTTGTTTTCGGAAGCTGTTCTTACACCCAAGGACTAGACACATGTTTCTCTATGTAGGTCGATACTACCTATGTCGTACAGAAACCTTTTCTTTTTCACAAGGATTTTTAAAATAAATAAATAAATAAATTTAAAAACCACTCAAGAACTATTTATAATTTAAAGCAACTTGTGAATTTACATCTATCCTAAACGTAAATTATATTACAGTGGTCTGCCCAGCATTATCAGAGCCAACGAGGACAATAAAATGCAACCTGAACGGTACACAAGTCGATTGTAAAAAATCTATGGTTCCTGGAACTGAAGCAGTGGTCCAGTGTGAATTGTTGTACACACATATAAAACAACTTTCACGTTTCTTTATTAGGTGCCAGCCAAATGGAACGTGGTCTGGAGAAATCACCCCATGTGAACCAAGTAAGTTTCACTGATATTTCAGAATTAAATAGAAATCCTTTTGGTTTTTGAAATATTGAAAGAATATTGCATTTTGTAAAATTATTCATGATACTAGTACTTAGTTTAATACGAAAATATGCCTGCAGCATTTTACTCTCTACAAACGTTTCACTACCAAATTTAATAATTTCAACTATGTAACTGTGTTGTAATAAATAATTTTGGAATGAGGAAGACCATCAGTGTGAGTAGCTCAGTCTGGGAATAAATATATGAGTTAATTTACGAGCAAAAATGACGACAATCTGAACAGCCAATTACACCAATTAACAAATACACAAAATATTTCAACTTGGTTAAAAACCTGGAGTACTTCTTAAACTGATGTAGATCAAGAGCTCGTTGAAGTGGGAAATGAACTGAATAGAAATATTCAATCTCAGGACTAATTGAACAAGATCTACGCCAAGTTAGTGGAGGTTTTGGGCGGCTATGCTGTATCCATCCCCAACAGACCTAAACGGCCCAGTAGCCATGGAGGCAAATGCGCTAGAATGATCTACTCTTATGCTAGGGCGCAGGAACGCCAAGAATGATCAGCGCTTTTGGCGAAGTGCAATAGAACGGGCAGTAACGGTTCTAGCCCCTTAACAAGAATGAGGTTAGTGACCTATACAAATCCCTTTGGGGCAACACGCTCCCGATTAGCCTTTCAGAATTAAGAGAGGGTGAAAAATCGTAGACACATAATATGGACCCAGACACAATCCTATAGGCGGTCAAAGTTGCCGAAATTAAAAGTCGTCTGGCTGGGATGAAAAATGCCACGACTCCAGGATCATATAAGATGAAAGTTTGGCGGCGGCGATGGCGTAACGGTTAGCGTACCGGACAGTTGTACCCAAGTTCGCGGGTTCAAACCCGAAGTCGTGGATTTTAAGGGCGGGAAAATCCTTCGTACGCCTTCCTTCGGAGAGGAAGTAAAGCCGGCTGTCCCATATTAGTAGATTTACTTGCATGTAAACGATCCTCAAGTATAAAAGAAGCCTCTGAGCTAAATTCAAATCGCCTGTTTCTCGCCCAAGAAATACCTCCTTTCTCTACTGGTTGTTGAAAGGAGCGTAGAGAAATTTGCGTGGTCAGACAGAAGAGCGGGCGTAAAATAAGGCATTAAATCAATAATTCAATTCAAAGGAGCGGCGCTGCCACCAGGAAACAACCTTTACCTCCCTCCTCCAGGGAGTAATAATAATAATGATGATGATAATATGATGATGATTATGATAATAATGAAAGGAGCGTAGCGAAATTTGCGTGGCCAGACGGAAGAGCGGGCCTGATGGCCCGAGCCTCGCTACGTAAAATAAGGCAAATTGAATTCACAAAATTCAATTCAAAAAAGTTAGCCACATATTTTCAGGGGCAAAATGCCTTTTTGAAAGATTATAATCTTCTTAAACCTGGTATTTTTATCACACATTATTCCAATTGAGATCAAGTATCGCTGGAAAATAAAACTACTCTTAGGAGAGGAAGGCCTAGAGAGAATGTATTCTGCAGGAAGTGCAATACTGCGGTAGAAACCATGAATCCTCTTTCAGTGCATTTTTACGAACCCAGCAAGAATAAAGCGTCATGACGAGATCAAGAACTTCATAGAGGGGAAGGTGCTCCGGAAATCGGACACCGTGGTGTCCACGGAAGCCACTTTCTCGGTTGCCCAAGGTGTTAGGCTCAAACCTGACTTGGTAATAGAAAGTCGGGAAATGGGTCCACGTGGTCGATGTGACTCTGCTACGAGGATGAGTCTAGCCTTCTGAAAGCAGGGGAGGAAAGGTGGTAAAATACCAACCACTCATTCCCCTAGCAGCCCAAATTCATGGAGTACCCAATGCCAAAATCCTGCCAGTAGTGTTTGGAACCTGTGGGACTATGTCAAGATCCACAGCCGGTGCCCTCAAGACGTTGTGGATCACGACTGGAGGCGATCTATTGACTATCTCGTTAATTGCTCTCAGAAGCTCTATTAAGCTATGTAGGATGGAAAAATTTAGCATTGTCGGTAGTAAATGTTAGAAAGGAATTTCTTGGTCTCGGGGGGAAGTCTAGGGAACCCACGGGATCCTAAAATGCATAGGAATTACTTAGTTACCACGACTTTAAGTGGGAAGAGTTTACCTATATAAAGTATCATATAGAATATAGTTGGATCCCCTTTGTTTAGGTTGCGCTCGCCTGTACTGCATTCGTTAAACTGGCACAGGGAACGCAAGGTTTAAGTGTTCGTTCGTCGCCAAAGAAGTAGGAGTGTGACTGAGCGCGGTGTAGTCAGGAGCGAATTTTCGTATAGGCACAAGAGGCACACGCCTAAGGGGCTAACGTTTAGGGGCGGTAAGAATTGTGGACCAAATTTCTGTCTATTCATTTCAAAAATTTGCTGTATTAATAAATTATTCATATTATAGGTTTTAGAAATTATGTATGTTTTAATACATGCAATTTTGACAATCTGTTTGATGATGTCTAATTTCGGTACTATTTTTCATAGCGTTTTCCATTCGTTGCACTGAAACCCACCCCAGTAGAGGGCAAAAAGTAATCACTCCGTAATAGTGCTGCCCCACGTGAGTGAAGGGCAGCCGCTAATGAAACGGTTTCTGGAACAGAGTATGTGCGTATACGCTGCGCAGTGAGATTATAGACAGCTGTTCTTGATCTGTACCTATAGTACACTACATTTTGAACGGAAAATTGTTTGGTGATTGAAAATCAAAAAAGCATTAACAAGAACATTTCCGCTGACGTGTGTATAAGTGTGCGAGAAACATTTCTGGCACATGATTTTGTAAGGGCATTAGTCACTATTTTATTTTTTACTTTATTAGAGTTTCGACTAAATAGCACTGTATTCGTTAACATGACTTTATTCAATTTTCGAATTTTAAGAATACACAAACTGATTTTCCGAGCTTCGCGTAAGTCACAAAACATTTTAAGACATATAAACATATTATTATGATATAACATGACGTAAAACATGATATTCTTCATCATTCGAGGAGTCTCTGCGTGACAGAAGATCCTCAATTGCCTTCACATTTTCACCACGAATCCAAATTAACATTCATAAATTCAGTACCTTACATCACAATGGCACAATGACGAGCGCCTCAGTGCAGGTTAGGACTGGTGCACTAGGCTAGTGCGCCCTGGTTGCGTGTCATTGTGGGAATGGAACATGCGCATCTTTGCCCTGGTGCGCTCTAGCGGTCAAATGAAACACGAAATCTTCTCTGAGTGCACATTAAGTGCGCACCAGTGCGGCGAATGGAAAACTCTTAGTGTCAGATGAAGACGTTACTCAATTTTAAGATTTAAAGGTAGAACAACAGTACGTAGAATGCAGAGCAGTACTGCGTCGCGGAGTGAACACCGTCGCGAAATAATGAACGTATTTGAAAATAAGTCTCACGAGTGTGTGTTGTGATATATACTAGTGTTATAACTGTGTGACAAATATATATTACTTCGACCCTCAGTGTACAACCTACAATAGAGATCAGTCGATTTCTCAAGATGCCTCTTCTAAACAAAGGAAACATAACCAAAGAGTCAACCGATAAACCCTAATCATCAGTGAAGACGTTGAAATGTTCCCCACGAAAAAAACAAGTTATAGTTATTGAACATCAAGAGGATCTTAGCATAAATTATTACGTCGGTAAAATAACCAAATAGGTAGTAAAACCAAATGACATTGGGTTTATATCAGGTGTATCCAACAACAGAATTTGGGTTTTCGCCAGCAGTAAATCTATAGCAGACCACTTCATTGAAAATAGCAGTATATTAAAAATAAGAATTAAAGTGAGTAGTATGACCACCTATTAGTAAATATAAAAGACTAATTATATCCAGTTCGTGTTCTATTGTCTCTCATGAAGTTTGAAAAAACTGAGTAAAAGGAATGTTCAGACTTATTCTGAAAGATCTTTCTTTAAAGTTGGAAACTCTGAACCATGTTTCTCTCACATAATGTACTCCAGAAGACCCGTTTACGTGGCTCCAGATTATTATAGTAAAATTCCTGGCTCAACCACTATATTTTATGATGGTACAGTCTACAGAATCTATTTCTCTGTAGGTAATATGTCTTGTTTCATCTGTAAATAGACAGGACACCTTGCTAACCAATGCCTCTGTGGCTTAGGAGAGGGAAGAAACAAATGAAGAAGCTGAATAACAAGAATCTGCTTATGGAAACTTCTAAAAAGCCTCCAAAACTGATAGTCAACTTAACCAAGGTAAAGATATTGAATCAAATGACAAAAAAATTCTACCCATTCAATAGAGAACACTTCAATCTGATATATCATCTCAACCAGAGCCTAAAAATAATAAACCTTCAACTGAAAACAACCTTGGTACAAAACCAGCTAAGAAAAATAAGAAAAACAAGAAAAGGATTATAATAAACCATCTCAAAAGTGTTCACAACCCAAGACATTAGAAGAAATTATTGCCGTCATTAAATCTACGATGAAAGATAACCCTAAAAAATTCCTCCTGAATTATGACCAAATAAAACATTTTCTTAAAAAAATTCCTTTGCAACTAACAATCCAACTATGATTGCTAAAGGCTTTACAGAGGATATTCAATATATTGTTCATATACTCACTGAAACCTACAACTTTCTAACAGAAAGATCAATAAAGAACATATTTACAAACTAACTAAAGCTTAATAATGAACAAATTACCTCTTAAATTAACTAAAGATGGCCAAACAGCCTCCTGAAGAATCTGAAACAAATACCGAATAAAATCAGTGAAAATCGTAGAATGGAAAATAAACGTTTTTTTTTTCGAGATTCGAAAGACTGCAACTACTCTATAATTTTCACAAACCTGATATAATGTGTGCAGGAGACCTACTTTAAATCAAACAAACAGAAGGATAAAAGGCTTTAAATTGTATCACAAAAATCGTGGCTCATCTACCATTGAGAGTGGTAGGGAAGCGATTTTTCTTGCAGACCATACCCATAAAATAATAGACATAATATCTGATTTAGAAGTGATCGTTGTTGAGATTCAAACACCAATATCATTTTACGCCTATAATATTTACTTACCCTGCTGCTACTCCTTTGAAACACAGGAAATCAACTATATAACTAATCAGTTACCTAAAACATTTTTCATTCTTGGTGATTTCAACAGTCATAGCACCCTATGGGGCTCCAAAGCAACTGATGCAAGAGGCTTTCGTATGGAAACTGTAATTGAAGAAAGTGATTAATCTCTTCTAAATAATGGTGAACCTACTCACTTTAATAAGATTAATGGAAGTACAAATGCAATTGACCTTACAGTTTGTTCTAGAACTATTACTTAACAATGTAACTGGTAACTTCTTGAAACTCCTCATGATGGTGACCAATCTGCCTTATTTTCATAAACATTAACAATCCCTGCAGTACTCACAACCATCCACAAGTATTGTCACCATTGAATTACAATGCAGCAAATTGGAACCTGTATAAAGAACTCATCTGTAAGTAACTATCAGATATTAATATGTTCCATTAAGAGTATATTGGTGGAATGATGAATACAAAGCAGCAATTAAAAATCTAACAAAGCTTTCAACCAATACCAAAAGCATAAAGCTGAAGAAAATAAAATACATTACAAAAATAAGATCTACTGCTAGGAGAGAATTAAAGAATGTAAAGCAAAGTCATTGTTAAATTATGAAGTAAAACTATTCAAATAACATAAAAGATTCATGCGCTATTCAAGGAAAGAAGAGAAGTAACAAATACACTTTCTACAATCTGACAATACAATCATCACCGACCCTAAAGAAATAGCAAATTAACTTGCATGTAACATTGACAAGAATTACAGTTCAAAAATACACATAATCCTTTTAATAGTTTAAACAAAGTCAAGAGAACCTTGAAGAGAAATTGAAGAATCGCCCACATATCACATCCACGATCCTATCACAATGAAAGAACACAGACTAATTATTAACAGAAACAGAAATTCCTCACCTGGACCAGACAGCATATCAAATATCCTGATAAAAATCTACCCGTCGAAGGAAAGAAAGTACTTTTAGCAATATAGAACTAATGTGTCAAAAATTAATTCCCTAAATAATGGAAATTGGCTACAGTTATTCTTGTACCTAAACCTGGAAATGATCCATCCACATTAGAACTAAAGACCAATCTCACCAACGGGCAATTTGTGTAAAATCTTTGAAAAAGTATTAACAAGAGACTTAGATGGTTTTTGACTTTCATAATATATTATCTCTTACTCAATTTGGTTTCAGACCAGGACACTCAACCACGTCTAACGTAGTAAACATATGAAACATTTATACTGAGATAGAAAACGCATATGTTATTATTAACAGGAGATTGAAAGAAGAAATTACAGATAATAAAGTTCACACCTCATAATAACTGGAGTACTCACAAATCTCTTCTTCTGATGGCATAATGCAATAGTGCGATACAAGATTGACTATGGAGACATAACACATAATTCTGCTAGTAAAATGATCTAAGAAAACGTCAAATTATTATTAATAATTCTTTGAGAATATGTACAGGCTGCTTCCATTTCAGTCCAATAGTTATTCTATTAGAAGTTGAAGAAACAACCCTATCAGGTTGCAGACAATTTTTAGCCCTCAAAGATAATATCAAAGCAGCTGAAGTAAATAATTTTAAAATTTATCATGATATCTACCCAAAACTTCAAAATTATTATAAAGATCAGCATATATTTACTCCAATGTGTACCAAAATCAAAAACCTTTTGGGAAGTTAAATATCATGAAAAATATAGGTGAAGAGAGAAGAAAACTAAACATTCCACCATGGATAATACCTGACATAGAAATAGATCTATAATTAACATCCATTACAAACGATAAAATATCAGATAAAGATTGGAATATAAAGTCAACTGAGATAGAAAAAAAATGTAAGTATCAATATAAGATATTCACAAAATTCATAAAAAGTCAAGATGAAAAGAATAACAATCACTCAAGAAATAAAAATTAGAAATATACTGCATTACTACTCCAGCCCCACAACAGCACTTGCTCCAAATGGCAAGTGCCATGATGCCTGCTCTTCCGTGTGACCACGCAAATTTATTTATTTTAGGCTTTTTTCTTCTGTGCCTGAAGTCTTCTCGCCCACATTGGCTTTTTTGTCTCTCTCTGCTATTAACATTTAATTACATCGCTATTACACGCATCAATTACAAACCTGATATCACTTTCGCAATAAATTGTACTTACAGGAAAGAAAAACTTTTTTCCGCAATTAAGAAGATTTTGCAGATTTATTTATTTTTCAAATTATAGCACCATTCAATAACTAATGTACAGTTTCACGTTCCCGTATGTCCCTATTACAACAGTTCTTCTGGAACTAGGAAAAATGAATTTTTATTTATATACATGTTTTTTTTATGTTTTAGAGTGTGGTGAAACTAATCCTTCCACTCGCGTCGTTGTGAGCTTACGTGGTTACCACTATTGGTGGTATTTGTCAAAGAAAACCAAAGAGTCTTCTTTCGACATTCCTTGGCATGCTGGCGTGTATTTGAAATATGAAGGAAAAAATATTTTTATTTGCGGAGGCACAATTATTTCAGAGCGTGTGATTGTAACTGGTAAATTAATATAATATTGTTTACTCACTTATTTTTGGATATAATATTCTCCTCATATTTTAGAGACAATGAATTTTACTATGTAAGAAAAAACAGCAAAAATTATGAAAAAGAATATAGTTGATTTATAGTGTTTTTCTTTACTACCTTGCATCTACGAAGCTGCACATTGCTTCTGGGATGTATCTTCTAGTCAGCAGAAGGATCAGAAGCTTTTCAAAATTGCTGCTGGGAAAATCTATCATGACTGGTATAGTGATGAGCTGTATGCACAGAAACGAGAAGTACGTGTCAACTGAATCAATACACAATTAATCAGTAGATATAATTAAAGACTGGCAGTTTTGTAAGTGTTTTAACGTTTCAGATTGATAAAATAATTTTACATCCGCGTTTTAGAGGCGATGCACTAAACTGGATGGCTGACATATCCCTTGTTAAACTCAGAGAACCTCTTATAATGACTTTCGCAATTCGACCAATTTGTCTTGATTTTGACAAACAATTTCAAACGCTCTTTACTCCTGGAAAGATGGGAGTTGTAAGTAATGAATTCTCAAACTACTTTTCCTAATCATTTTCTATCCTGTATAAAACACTTGCTCTTACTCGCTAGTAGGAATATTTACTATGTGCCAAATTGCTAATGCGGCTTTTCCAGGTTGTCGGTTGGGGTGGCAACGTGAACAAGACTCGGAGGGAAAAACTCCGCCAATTAAACCTACCATATGTTAAGTTCGAGGAATGTGAAAAAGCAGTACCTCAATCATTTCTGGCATTCCTTACAAATGACAAATTTTGTGCAGGATATCTTAATGGCGAGTTTAATTTATTTTGTCGCGCTAGCAAAATAGCGAAGTTACAATTGTTGAAGGTATTCAATATATTTAATCTAAAGAAAAATAGTAACCTTTTGTTATGTCTTTCAGGTACAAGTGTATGCCCTGGAGACAATGGCGGTGGGTATGCAACGCAATTTAGGGATGGAAAATGGTACTTAATGGGTGTTGTGAGTGTAGGAGTACCAGCAAAAGATGAAAGCATTTGCAATGTATTTTCGTACACTACCTATACGAGTGTATCTTTTTACTACGATTTTATAAGTTCATTGCAATAAAAAGTATATACTAAAATGTAGCGTGGACAATTCAAAAGAAGCGATAAATAATTAATATGTGTCTACTTTTAAATAAATAAAAAAATGATTGTTAACATACTACTATTAATTATTTTGTTCTGTTTGTTTTCCACGTACTTTGAATGATGGTAATGTGTTGATTCCAAGTCGGTTTAGTGCAATGTAAAATGACCAGAAATATAACTCTTTATAATATTGGTATGTGTTCCATGTACAATTGCACGCCATGGAGACGCTGGTGGTGGCTATGCAACGCAATTGAGGAATGGAATATTGTACATTTTGTGTGTTGTGAATGTAGGTTGGGCACCGCCTGATAACAGCGTTTGCAACGTATTTGCAGACACTATCTACCAAGTGTATTCTATTCAAGGATTTTATCAGTTAATTGAAATGAAACGTAAATAGTCGAAGCATCGCTTACAAAATTGAAAATGTTTGATAATTTATTAATGATTCTACTTGTTAATGAAACTTGTTAACGATTTGTTCACATTATTGTATTTACGAATACAAGTGATTTAAATGATGTTTAATAAAGTTTCTCGAAAACACAAGACTTTTTTGTGAAAATGAGCTCAAAATTCCTCATTTTGAGAAACAATGAAATGCCGTTTTCTGAAAAACGGCTCGAATTTATTTTCAAACCTTTCGTTTGGATAGTGTTAATTGCACAGTTTAAGACGATATAAAACTCATTTTGGTGTATTCTTTTGTTGTTTTCTAAAAAAATACACAACTGCAATTTTCTAAAATATATCTCACTCCATTGTTATGCACATGTCCAGCAATTTGTAAACATTTTTGTATTTGTCAGTAGAAGAACTGCAAGTGACTGCGTCACATTTCGCATTTACATTGACGCTTAAACAATTGTCTTAAAAGCGACGAAGGTTTTACTCTTCTTTAATATTTGAAAGTAATATATATATATATATATATATATATATATATATATATATATATATATATATAGAGAGAGAGAGAGAGAGAGAGAGAGAGAGAGAGAACGGGCGGAAATATCGAAAAAAAGAACGGTCGAAAAAATTGGGCTTTTCTTTTTTCGATATATCCGCCCGTTCCGCTCCACACAGATGCATCTTCCAGGTGTCTATCCTGTTCTGTTTTCTATTATCCACCTTTCCGCACTGCCCTCCCCCACCTCATCTGGTAACCTGCCATCGCCCTTTTCCCTCTCAGCCAATGACGGGACACCCGCCTTCCTCCTATTGGGCACCGATGCACTCAGTCGGCCCACGCGCCTTTCCTATACGATGAGACACGCCAACCTCTTGGCAGCAGTATAGCTCTGAAGAAGGTCACAGAAAGATGGCCGAAACATCAGCACAATTGACCGAGACGCTGCTCATTCCGGATAGCCAAGAAAGCATTGACTCCGGCCGGGGAAGCCTACGAACCCATTCAGCTTAAGTGTTGGGAGAGCTTTTGAAGAAATCGGGCTGAAGAAACTGCTGTGCCTTTCTGCGTTTTGTCAAAAGGGAAGATTCTGCAAACGACAAGTATTAACTGTTAGCTCATTTTGGCATTACGATCATTAAATATTGAAGAAAATGTCAGTGTTAAATGTGTGTGGGCAAAAGGAAATCGTTTTCCTTTCTGATTCTAGTCTGTTATTCGTGCATATTCGTAGGCACGCTGCTTCCACTGCGCTACCAATCGCTGGTAAACGGAGAATGAAATAACACTTCAACTTTCAGTGCAGTCGATACGCACACATTAGCAGCGTTTTACACGAGCAAAGCGCTCCGCCAGGCAGATTTTTAATGTGCTTTCAAGTTCAAAGTCCGTTCAGAACGTTTTGAACGAGAAATTCATTTACTTCTCTTTGTTATGTATTCGGCGATTTGGAGGGAAAATGAAGGCTATCACGAACGCGCGACGACAGCAATGTATGCTCTATTAACTCACCCCAGAAAATTGTTATAAGTGATTGTATTCGAAGTACGGCGCGAAATTTGAAATAATTAGTTGCCAACAAAGACATCTAGGAGACCTCGCACAGCAGGAGGCCCTGCGTCTGGGTTTATCCACGTTTTCGTTACCAGGCCCCTGTAATACGAGTTTTCTGCCTAAAATTGCCGTTTTTTCGCGCAGCATTACATAACTTTCTCTCTACTTACGAAGAAAGTAAAAATACGAATTTTATTTTGCACTCATTTTAAAATATTTCATAATTAACAGAACCCCTCTGAAGTCTTTTAACGATGCTTACCACTTAATGCATCAGTTACTAATCGGGTGGTACCTATAATTTAACCACCATTTAAAAATTTAAAGAATTTATCTCGAAAATTCATTTTTCGAGTTGTGCCATATTGCAGACCGTATTGCAGGCCATAAACGATTTTAAGGAACCAATATTTTAGCTGCAAAATGCTGTTAACATAAATTATGTCTTGGTGTTAAGGAAAAAGCAGCAGGGGACTATCATTTATCATACGTGGTTCTCTTAAACACAAGACATTAGTTCATACTGAATATAATTCGAGAATTTTAAGAATTTTGTTAATTTCCATGAGGTTTGGTTTGTATTCAGCGTTCATTGTTACACTGCTCAAAACAGTGGTTATAAAAACAGCAAAAATGAATTTTAAAAGATTCAATAAAAGAAAAGAATATGAATCACTTGGTGCTGTAAAAATATCCTAGTGCGCGGCAAGCAATTTATCTAACGCAATAGTTTCACCGAAAACGCACAGAAACGACGTTACGCCCAGCCCCGTTGGCAGGCGCCGCAGTGTCGCGGCAGCAGGTTTGATTTTAGCGCCCGGAAGTAACCTGTTAAGGCTGCAAAATATTGCTTAGATGATTGGGAGAGCATTAGCAGAAATTGCGACAAGAAGTTTTATGTATCGCCTTCTGTGTTCTCATAATACGAGAAAATTCTGAAAAGAGCGACACATTTTTATTGGCTATTTTATTGACTAAGGAATCCATACAGAAAGGCGCGCCGGAAAAATCTAGATAGAATACAGAGAAAAGCGAATAAGTTTACCTAACGAAAAATTCATGGGAACCTCTAGAAATGAGAAGAACAAAGACGAGGCTTTGCGCTCTTTATAAATCGTACGTAGGTCAACCAGCTTGGAAGGAAATTCAGATTAGACTAGAAAAACCAAATTATTTCGGCCGAAGCGATCACACCCACAAAATTCGAGCAAGGAAACAAAATTCATATCTTGGGAAGTTTTCCTTTTGTAACAGAACAATTAGAGATTGGAACAGTTTACCTGCAGCAGTTTTCAAAGCTTTTCCTCTCAGTGTCCGAAGTTTTAGAAATAAGTTAGAACAAGATAACAGTGACAGATATTAAAAGAGTAAGTGCTGTATAGTGCGGTGAAGTGCTGTGAAGTGATGGTCAGTGTAATTCAAAGCAAAAAAGTGTAGTGTAGTGAAGTGAAGTGCGGTGAACGCGATCAATGCTCTTTTCAATGCTGCTTTACGTCTTGTACTGTATTGTACGGTACTATTATTATTATTATTATTATTATTATTATTATTATTATTATTATTATTATAATTTTTTTCTTTGCCGTAAGAATCAATGAATATTGAAAAGATTGAAAGGATAATGTCACCTCTGTCTGGACGAAATATAACGTTTTCCTTATGAACTTCCCACTTGGTGCTTATGCACGCCTCTTTCCCGCCGCGTTTTGGAGTTTGAGGTCACGGAGACTGCAGCAATGTGGAAATTGCTTGCCAACGTACCGAATAAAACTTTCATTCGCCCAATCCGCGTCTCAGGGCGCTGCTTCAAAGAAATTACACAATAATTGATTGCTGCATACGTACCACAAACTTTCAATGCGCCCCATATGCGTATTGCTTATCTCTTTGGCACCATCACTACCAAAATGGTCGCGGCCCCTCTGATTTTCAAACAATGCGAGCTCGCCTATTTGATGTGGTAAAAATTGGATTTCAGGAAATCTGACAATGAGTAAATCTTTCGTCGCAGTCGCCCAGGAGGTGGTGCGGTCTATTGGTGACTTTTCGAACTAGTTCAAGCAGCTGACAGTCGATTTAAAAGAGCTTTGTGTCAAATGAGTTTTCCACTATTTGTGAGAGAATTCGCGGGATTTTTTGACGAAATTTAGACTCTCGAAAGCGCCGAGTTTGAAATGTATGATCTTTACTTCTTAAATGCCTTCAAAGAGTAGCTAAGCAGGCGTTCGTAGCGTGCGCCAAATTAGAATTCATTTGTCTGCCCATGAGCCAACATAACCTTTAAACTCTATTTTATCAAAGACTTTTTTTTTTGGAAAAACTGGATCTGGCGTTCTAAATGAAAGTCAACCCAGAATAGGGGGTATTTTTTGTAACGGGAGCTTCTGGACACTTTGTATTCGAAGCTTTTATCGGAAAGAATGAGGATTACATTGAAAATGTGTGAAGAAATATTGTTCGGTAAATTACTTTTACTTTCAGCCTTACAAAATATTTCGTAAGAAGAAGTTATGTAATCGTGAGTAGAAAAACGACGAATTTGTTTCAATTGCATCAGTATCGTGAGCAGTACTTTTGAAAAAAACCTACAATAAGCCCACTCTACCGGAAAACGCGACATGGAGTTTGATGGCTTTAACGGGTGACAACAAAAGGAACGAGTGTTATGCAACAAAAGAAACGAGGGTTGATTGGCTGTAAAATAAAAGCGTCGCGGAGCGGGATATGGATGTCGGTTGTGCAATGTTCAATTTTCGTGAGTCATAGTGGCAAGGCGGCCTGATGGGCGGTTGGTGGCTTGGCAGGGTAACAGGGCTTCGAACCCCGGGGCTGGCGCTGTGGGGGGCGAGGGCGGCTTTGGAGTCGCGAGGCGTGTGTGTACCGTGGGGCGGGCGAGGAAGGCGGCGGGGCGCGGGGGCCGGGATTCGAGCTCTGGGGCTGGCGCTGACGGTTGCACTGTGGGCGGGGGTGGAGGCGCGGGGCGTGTGTGTGCCGTGGGAGGGGGCGGGGCCGCCCGTGGCAGGCGTGCAGTGGGCGTTGGGCGGCGGGTGCCGGGCGGTGGGCGTGGTGGACCTGGGCGACGGTCCGCGCTGGCTACGCGCCCTGCACGCCCGCGCCGCGGCGCCGCTGCTGCTGTGGCGCCCGACGCTGCCCCTGCTGCTGCTCCGACCGCCTGCGCCGCTGTGGTCGTACACAGCGCCGGCGTGGCTGGAGAGGCAGGGCGGCTATGTGCTAGCGGCGCACCGCCATGTCCACCTCCTCGCCTTCCTGCTCAACCACACAAAGGGAGCGATCTTTAACAGCATCAGGGATGTGAGTCACATTTAAATTGAAAATGTGTTATTTGCACTCGATTTTTAAGTTAAGCTTTAATTAATAAATACGTTTTTCAGAACTCCCCACATCTCTGTGATTCCATCCTCTTTATTTTATCGCGTACAAAAAGTTTTGTTGTGTAAAACTTCATTTAAATGACCATTTAAAACACGATATAACGCTTTGTGTTAATAAATATGTATTATTAATCCCGACACAAGAAAAAATAGTTTTATTAATTTCCCATCAGTGTATTTGATGACAAAA